CCGATGCTTCGGCTGCGAGCGCCGATTATGGCCCAGCCACGTCACATTTATGATCTCGCTGACGAGCTACTGAGCGAGATATTGTCCTTTCTTCTTGAACCCGCACCTCGAGCCCTAAACGGCAGATTCAATGGAAATGGACATACTTCCAGGCCTGGCGACGAAGTGTCCGACCTTGATCACTTTCGACTCGTCTGCAAGCGCTTCATGCGAATCGGCACCCCTTACAAGTTTAACCGATTTACTCTACGCTTTTCTGATCACGGCTTCCGGCGACTAGATGAACTGGTAGACATGCAGCTGGCCTACTATGTGAAGACCATCACGTATATGGTGCGACCCTTTTATCAAGGGAGCGGTATCAGTTCTTCAATCTCTCATACAGTGAGCAAATTGACTAAGAGCAAAATATAGGATGGGCCCGGACACTGCGAACATTGGAATCAGAGAATCCCGAAATATCCCAACTGCACAGACGCCGACTGCGCGAACAAACCAATCTAACTGAAACCGACAATGACCAAACCCGCCTCTGCCGTGCAATCGCATCATTCTCAGCCCTACAGGAGATAAAACTCCTAAGACTCCAAGACGAAGCAGACGAGTACCTCATCGACTTTATACGCGACCACTCGCTGGGACCCGGCACCAGCACCGCAACAAGCATCCGCTTCGACTGGGAAACCGCCTGCTCGCGCGCGGTAACAAACCTCAGCGTCGCTCTCCTCGATTCAAAATGCAGCTCCATCCGCTTCACGGGGCCCCAAATCAGCCCGGAAGCAACCCTTCAGCTCCTCCGCGCCCCGTCAACAGCCCTCGCCGCCATGGGCGGACGCCTCACAAGCCTCGACATAAATTTCCACTCGGCAACCGACATCACAACAACCATGGCCGACCTGTCAGGAGTCTTCCACCGCTTCTTCGCCGCAGCCAAGAACCTCATCGCCATCCACATAGGCTTCCTCAGCAAAACACCCCTAGACCTCGACCTCGAGCTACTCTTCCACCACATCCGCTGGAAAACCCTCCGCAAACTCAGTATCCAAGGCTGGCGTCTCAGCGCAGATGAGATCCTCGCACTAGCACGCCGCCATAGTGCCCAGCTACGAGATTTCCGCCTGCTCGGCGTCTACCTCCGGCCTGGCGGGTTGTGGCGCGATGTCCTCGCTGTCCTGCGTGAGGAAATGGAGCAGCTGGAGCGGCTGGTTCTGAAGGACATTGACTACGCTGCACATTTTGATTCAGTTGCTGTTTCAAATGGCGTCGAGGTGTTTGATGATTACCCTGCTGGCGTGCCGTCCTCTCTTACTGTTGCGGCTGGTACCTCCTCGGCTGTTCAGTCGCCGACTACTACCCCGCTCGCATCTGATGGCATCCCTGCTTTGGTAAGGGGAAGACAATTGCCCTTGAGACGCACTTCGCTTGAGAGACTGCGTGCTTTGTCGAGTGAGGACCTAGGAGATGACGGTCTGCATGTCTTGCGTGAGCAGATGCCTCTTTGGGAGGCGTGGGTTCTTTCTGCTCCGCATCATGGTAAAAGAAATGTATGTAAAAAGGAGAGGTAGATAGATGTTTAAAGGTGCTGATTACTATTTTGGATGCTTTTTGGAGTTGGGGGCTGTTTGAATTACTTTTTGGATGACTTGCATGCGTTAGAGCCGTTTGAAAATATATTTGGGCACTCTTTCTGACAATTCTTGTGGTAACGTGTACCGCATTAGCATGGGCCAAAAGTTAAGGATATCTATGCAAGGATGCAATCTTTAGGGTATCATTAAACACAAATGTGTTGGAGGACCAAATCTGCACCAATTATTTTCAAAGTCCCCTATTTATAGCACTGGGCCCAGTCGCCGCCAGAGCGAGCAAAAGTAAGCCCCTTCACGAAATCACGACGGCGACAACGGCCAAGTTTATCCACCGGGCAACCATGTAGTGGAACAACACGGTCATTAACGAGGACTCGCACGAGCGGCTCAGGGTCTCGGCGACATTGCATCATCTCAACATAAGCGCGAGCACCGAAAGGCACCGTCCAGGCGGATGAGAATCCGTCTGTTTGGTTAGGAGACTGAAGGTGGGTGAGCGAGAGAGGAGTGGTGCCGTTGTACAAACCCAAAGCAAAGAAGAACGGAATCATTCCATTGTCATGGGTGAAGTCCGCGTACATGGTGTAGTTGAGGGGGAAGGTTGCAGCGCCGGGGGCATCAAGTGTTCGGTTTGTGCTCGTGTTGTCCGCCACTGGGTGGCGAGTGAGTCGGGCGATTAGTTCGTTCACGAAGCCGACACCCTGGGTTGGACCGAGAGGATTGCCTGCGCCGTAACCGTAATACTTGCTCACTGACTGGAGGTAGTCGTATTGGCTCCATTCGGCCTGGGTGAAGAGGTCGCAGAATGGAGATAGCTCAGCTCCATCGTCACTCAAGGACACAGACTCGAAAGGACAAATGTCCATCAGACTGACAACATCGATGTCCTCGAGTTTAACACCAGGGAGATCGGGCTCGAGACGAGCTCGGATGGGCGGCACAAAGATTTTCATGTATTTTTCTTCGACCTCGTCGCCCAGTTCGCTGTCTTCGAACTTAGGACAGATTTCGCTGTGGTTGAGGGTATTGTTGGTGCCAGACTCTTCTGAGATGATAACATTGGCCTTGGGGCTTGGTTGCCGGTGATTGGCATTTTTGTCATCCGACTTTGCCTTCTGGAAGCCCTTGATAAAGTTCACTCCTGAAGCCACAACCCGCTCCGAGCCAGATGAGCGAATGAAGGGCACAGCTTTCTTAGCCAACGCCTCGTAACGCTGGTAGAATTTGGTCCCCGAGTCCACCATCTGATTCACTCCAAAGGGTACCAAATCATCAGCACCCATGACGTATTTGTATGAGCGGAGAAATTCCGTGTTGCCCTTGTATGCAGTCGCATTCGCTTGGATATTTTCAATAAGCTGGGCATATACCTTGCTCTTCTTCGCGGATGGGAATCGAGCACCATGACGGGAGATCACTTGAGCAAAGGTGATCTGACAACCATGAGGTACCTCATCTGAGATGGGCGATTCATCCGAAAGAGAGAAATAGGGCGAATACTGGCCCCACTTGTGAGAGAGCTCGGAGTTGCATTGGTAACCGCCGTCCACAGTATTGCAGTCAGATCTCCTCGACTTATTAACGGGGAAAGTCAGAGGTAGGTCACGCTGGGTTGTGGCATGTGAGGTAGGGTTGCACTGCGTTCCCTTCACGAAGTACACAACTAGGGCGAAAGTGCCCAGCAGGGATATGATGGTCAATGCAGTCCATCTTCGAGAAGATTGCTGGCATTGTTGCTTCCGGTCTTGGTGTTGCCTCTCTTCAAGCAGGGCCTCTTCCTCTCCATTGTTTAGTTTAGAGAACGCTGCCATCTCACTGGGTGAATGAGTAGACGATATCACAACTTGACAAGTCGTGGGACCTGCAAGGATATAGAATGTGGAGAGGGGGAATTCAGTTCATTTTTAAATGTCAACCTGACTCTGAAGCATTTGGGTTAACCCTTGCAGACGTTGTGCTCGTGAGTGTCTTGGTTCCGCTGATTGGTCACTCTTGCTTGAAGTTGAAACACGTGGACCAGGAGATGCCCTACCAGCGAGATGAATACTTCGCAGTACTTAGATCTACTATGTTTTAATATGTAGGTAGATGTCACTAGGGGTACCTAGTTTATATACTAGCCCAACGGGGAATTTCAACATGTGCTGACCGTCGCATTCATCGCCTTACAAAGACAATCTCACCTCGAAACATCCTCAATTCATTATAATAATAGTCTTTTTCCTGTCCAGGGTAGTTATGTCTTACCTGACTTTTCCAAGACGGGCTTGTTCCTTCCAACCTCATGGATAGAGTTTCTCCCGCGTTTTGGTGGAGCACTTTTGTATATCTCCGTCCCCATTCCCTATACTCATTTGGTTCACAGTGGTTTCAAGAAGAAAAATTTGACATGCACATAATTGATCGTCGCTGGCGACGTCCATTTACTACTTTGCACATGATATATCTTGAGCACCGCCTCCTCCAACAATATATTGTTACATCGACAAAAATATCTCCCACCAACTACAATAAACCAAGGAAACATGTGCAGTGAATTGAGTTTTAGGAGACTGGAACAATTTAAGGATTCTAGAAGAAATAGAAGGAATAATAGGAGAGCAGACATGTCGTATGTACGCCTAACTGGGGGCTCCATTGAACATGTTACTCTTGGTCTCGTGTTTTCTTCCCCTTCATCGGATCCGTATTGTGCGTGAAACCAGCTCGCCTAGGTACCAAAGTCTTAGAATGCCGCTCCGTACTCCGTATATATGATAGGCTCGGTCAAAGGCAATTAATTGCCTTAAATAATTCTGTGTTGCCGCAGCGAGAAAACCAAGGCATGATCATCCGTTTCAAAGATCAACGCAGACATGTACGGAGTATGTAGATCATACATATGTAGATCAATTAGATCACTCTGGCCGAGGGTTGTAACGATGCTAAGCGTACGGAGTACCAACACCACTGCCTATGTACACAAGGGGATACTTAGGATAGATATTGAATCGGGAAATAGAGACTAAAGATATAATATAGTAGTATGATAAACAAATAAGTAGCTACTTCTTCTACTTCTTCTAGAAGTGGCCTACGAAGGTAATATATAGGATCACAAATAGATCTGATGCCGCTCTAAGGTATGGAAATCTTCCGAAAAAGGAAAGAAAGTAAAAGCCTTTGAATTGACTTGAATAGGTAGTTTTCGTCTCGTTTCGTTTTCTTTTCTCTTTTTTCGCGTACCCATTATAAACACTAACTCCACCAGTAAAAAGAGGGACGGTATTTATCCAATGCATTTGGTTTTGAGTTCACTACCTGGCCTTGTTCCACCCATGCATCCATCGACCTGAGAAACACATACGAATACGGAGGTAAGACACGGGGTTCGAGGATCTAAATAGTATTCACACCGACGATGTACTCCACTCACGCCACCTCGACTGTAACGGTATACTCATTTCCCTTCTGCCCAACTACAGTGACTTTTACTCCATCTTCTGAAACAAAAGTCTCCCGTCCCGTCTCGGTTGTGAAATGGGCATCATTTAGTTCCTCCCCATCACACCCCCCTGAACTTGGGGTCGCATCATGAACGCGAATAGGGCCTTGGCCCGAAGCCGTGGATGTTGATACCGTATAGACAAGCACTCCTGTACTGCAAGCCCTGGTATCCGCGCCATCCTTGGCTCTCACCTCGGCGACAATAGCAGTAGTCTCATCCCGCTTCACAACCACTCCCTTAACGCCGTCTTTGGTTCCAACGGGGGTAATGGTGTGAGTCGTCGATCCAGCACCGTCCACACAATCGAACTGGTCGTCGGAAAACCATCCCAGCTTCCACTTATGCCATGCAAAGTAATCCGGAAGCCCCCCGCTAATTAAACCCATAATGTCATGCCCGCCGACATACATGGTGGTGCTGGTGCCATCATCCGCACTCGGATACAGGTCCGGTAAACCCATTGTGTGTCCAGTCTCGTGGTTCATGACTAGGAAGCCCCATGAGTCAGGAGCGTCTTGGCCGAAGGTGACAGTTTTACTGATGATAGTCCCATCCCCTGCAGTCAATTCCCCCATGTAAGTAGGTGAGAACGAGATGTGCTTTGCTGCCTTGGTCGGGACGATATAGAGAACATCGGTGCCGGCGAAGTTGATGGCCTTGCCGACTGAGTCGAGCGCGTCCTGAATGTACTCTGCTAGAAGCTCTGAGGTAATCCCCCGGTCATAGGGGTAGGAGGTGGATGCTTTGGGCATGCGATAGAAGCGGGAGGTGTCGGTGGTGATGTCGAGACTAAGTTGGCCAAAGGAGGAATTGGTGTACCAGTCTGGTGCACCGGGAACGAAGAGCTGGTGTAGTTCCTCAGTGCCCTCTGAGGCCGGTGCGTCAGGGAAGTCAACGAAAATCATATAGCCGTTGAGGGTGCCAATGCTTGGAGCAAAATTCTGGTCTGTAGCACCGATACCATCGCTGAGATCCACTGGAGTCGGCTTGAGTTTGCAGGAGCCATTTCCGGCGGCGCGTGAGTTGAGAGCACGAGAAGGATGGCTTTGGAGTGGAAATCCAGTTTTAAGAGTAGGCATAGAAATCGAACGGGGAGAGGAGGGGCATGCCTTGACAACCTGTGTCAAGAGGCAGAGTAAGCCCCAAGGAGCGAGCCCTAACAGCTGATTGGATTGGATTTTCATCTGTATAAGTCTCTTGATTTGGATGTTTTGGGCGTTGTACCAAGTACATCATTGATTGGCAATTAAGGGTTTTATACTCCGTAATAAGGGAGAGCTTTCTGTTCCAAGTGAGACAGGAGTCGGGAAACAATCATCATGAAACAATTAGGGAATTCAAAGGGCTCCTTGGCTTCATATATATCCATCAGGCGGAGAAATATTGACCGTCTGGAATAAGGAGATTAATCTGACTCTCATCTGAATGATTAGTGTTCCAAAGCAGTTTCATGAATGAAACTAGACCTTGGCAAAAACATTTGGAGGGCTGGTCCTCAGGGGCCCTTATCAGCTCTGATTAATCCTACGTAAGTAGAATGTCTGCTACCTTATTAACGCGTTTAGTAGTTCTCGAGGGTGACAAGAACGAGCAGCGGTCGTGGGTTCCCTAGCGACCAGGGGCTAACCATCACACACAACCAACGGGAAACAATCGTGGCATTAGATCGCGCTGGCCGTGGTGGTAGCCATGCGTATGCCACCACGCACGGCCGGCGTCGACGGAGGCTTAAGGGCGTCAAAGGTGGCCATCTCTGGTCTCGCATCCACCGTCTCACTGTTATGTGTAGTATTAGACCAACCGAGTCAGACTTACATAACTATGTATGTTAGTTATAGTTAGTTAGTTACTTAACTAGTTAGTTAGTTAGTTACTTAACTAGTTAGTTAGTTAGTTACTTAACTAGTTAGTTAGTTAGTTACCTAGGTAGTTAGTTGTATCAGTACCCTTTCTCTTTCTTTAGCGATGTACTTCGAGTGTTGAAGAATCTATACGGTACCTACGTACCTAAGTATCCTTTGTATGGAAACTGGTATAAAAGACACCGGATATGTAGAATCTTTGTTTAGAGGACGGTAGAGAACTTTGTGTTACAAAGGCGCACCCACACTTCCTAGGTAGTAGTGCCACTAGCATGCTTTGCAATTGTTCCTTGTATTTTAAGCAAATATAGCGGAACATTAGCCATCTAAATAGTATTAAATAGAACTAGCAATATGAAGGAAATTGAACAGTTCGATTTTGTAGTTCGGCTCATGGGTCCCAACCAATTAGAATTCTCGGGGTTGCCGAGACGCGCCCGATCCAAACATTCCGACTTTGCTTCAAAACAAACCAGCCCCAATCTTCAACTTACCCTTATACTCCCAGAATGCCTCCAATGAACAAGAATTCTGGCTTAAACGACGATTCCTTTTCGCTCACCAACTTGGACGACGAAATAATGGGCACCTCAACACGACGTGTCGATGAGGAGCTTGACTACGATATCAACACATCAACACTTGATCGCGCTTTCCCTGAATTTTCGCAAATACAAACCTCCGAAGAGGAGGAACAGGCGTTGGACGACGACCTTTCACATAGCGACCTCGACATGTCCGTTGAGGTGGGACGCGCTGCTGAGAAACCAGCACGCGACGACTCGCGTAGCTCTGTGATGAGCTTCGAGAATAGTGTACGCTCATCCTCGCCCGCCATGCGCGTTGAATACCCTACACCACAAAAGCCACTTGCGGCCACGCGTCCGTCGCGTCGCGCCGTCAGTGAAAACCTACGAAAGAACGCTCAGGTGCGGCGAGCAACCCAAGCACAGAAAGAAACGATGAGCCCGCAAGTCTCGAAAGCTCAGCGCGACCAGCGTCGGACATTTTCCGATATGCACGCAAAAGTGCGTGACAGTTACGAGGGTTCATTTTTGGGAGACGAAAGACCTGCTCCTATCGTCACAAAGACGCGTTCGACGCGTTTTGGAAACGCAAACACCTCACAGGAGATTGCAGACGCAATTGAGCGAGCTTCGCGGGACGCCTACGCGAAGGAACTCCGCAAATCGGCTTCCAATACCGCAGGAACTCCCCGCAAAAGCAGTGCCAATGCAACCAACACCAACACTATTGGTGATACAATGACCCATCAATCATTCCTTCTTCCCGACCTCCCTAATATCTCTGAACTGGTGTCCGGTGTGTACGAAGATGGCACACCCGTTTACTCTCGACAGGGCAAGATGCGCTCGACCCGATTCGTTTCCCCACTTCATGATCATACAGATGTGTCTCTTCCCCATGAGCACATGCCGCTGGATGCAGTGCCCGTCCCCGAAGACGAGAAGGCCCTGTTTGTTCATCTGAGACTACTCCAGGATAAGGTGGCAGAACTGGAGATGTTCAAGTCCGAGGCAGAGCGCAAATTGGACAGTTATCGCCAGGAGAATTCATCTTTGAAGGCGAACAGACCCCGCCAGTCATCAGCGAAGTACGAATCAGAGGATAATTCACAGAAAAAGGGATCTAAGCGCCTGGAAAATGAGAATCAGAAGTTAGACGCAGCCAATCTCGCTTTACAAAATCAGTTGGACATTGCCGATCGAAAAGCCCAGGTGCAAGAGTCTGCCATCAAGCGCTTGAACCATGAGAGAGAGTCGGCTATCTCACAACTTGGAGCCGCTTATCTCGAAACTCGAGAGCTGAAAGCCGAGAACGAGGAACTGCGACAGGAAAATGCGGAACTCAAGTCCCAGCTCAGCCGATCCTCAGGCCGCAAGGCTCGCGAACAGGACACCGTTGAGTCCGAAGTCAGTTCAGCCGTGTCTGATGATGTCGACGATAGCCAGCTTTACACTGAGCGCAGCGGAGACGCTAGTCGGAGCACCAGAGACATTACATCGAAAAGCAACCGCTCTACGACGAGAACCAGACGCCAGGATGACTCTCGCTCCAAGGTGTCTACTCAAGTGGATAAGGAAATTTCTCGCCTTGAAAAGGAACGTGCCGACGAGGCTCTCTTCTCTATTGAGATGCCATCATCGAGACGTACATCAACCTCTAGGCCATCAAAGCAAGCTGTTTCTCGCTCTTCCGAATCAAAGAGCTCCCGAAAACAACCCAACACGAGCAAACAGCGCGTGAAGCGAGTGGTAGTTGAAGACGTGACTGGGCCGGAGGTGTCCGAGCAGACCAAGGCTTCGTCTGAAACAGACGTTACCTTGTTAAGTGTTATTGATGAACATGAAATCTCTCGTCTACGCAAAACATTGGAAGAAGAAAGAATGATGCGCAAGCAACGACGTTCCAATGCCCCTAAGGAGTCTAATCCTACAGAGACCGTCAACTCGACTAGACAGAGCATTTTGAAAACCCCTGCCCCTCGCAAATCATCTCTTCGCGAATCCAAAGCAGAAATCCCTCGCCCAGCCTCGGCTATTGGAGATATTACCACCGCCTCAAGGGCAAATACCGAGGGAGACGGTAGTCTCACAGTACCGATCGCGGAGCGTTCCCGACGCCATTCCGAAAATTCGTTGCCCGCGGCATCCCAGCGCAAGAAGCAGCGAAATGCCGCTGACATGACCTCCGCTTTCATCCTTCCTGATATCACCCTCCACCACGTCGACTTGGCCGCGGCCGATCCATCCAAGTTGCCACAAGCCACCCAGAAAGCGTTGGATAGCATTGCTCGTCACAATGGCAAGAACTGCACAGTTTGCAATGGTCATCCCACTGATGGCATCTGCAACCATGAGTCCGTGAAGGTCGCCAAACCTATTCCTGTGTCAGAGCGTATGCCTAAGCCATCCGTCTGGAACGAAGAACCAACTATGCGCCCCTCGCAACCCCCTGCCCTTGCTCTTGCTACTGTTCTCAAAGGCCTAGAGGACGAACTCTCTCACCTGAAGATGCAACTGGCTACATACCAAAGCGTTTACAACAAGCTTGACGCATCGCTCGGCAAGCGCCCGCGCAAGGCCCTGCAAGAAAAGATTGACAAAGTCTTCAAGGACATCGACATGAAGTCCGACCAAATATACGCTCTTTACGATGTTTTGGAGGGCCAAAAGCAAGATGGTCGTGAGATGACCGAACACGAAATGGAAGCAACTTCTGAGTCAATTGGGATTGATGTCGGCACGTCCAATGCACCTGATTTCACTGGTACCACCGATAAATCTTCTCGCCCCGGTCAGATTGACTTGGATGACGAGGAGGACTTGCCCTGGGAGGGCATCGAGAGCACTGCTGAGATGACTGGCCACCTCTCTTTGGACGGTCACTGAGCTGATGTTTATTGCATCGCATTGCGTGTGTTGATAGTATTCTGGTTACTTTGCTGCTACTTTGGCGCTGATTCATGGAGTATGGTTCCATCTGTATGTTTAATTCATTGATTTGGGTAATCATTGTTGGTTAGGTAGTTCTTGATACTCAAATGTCATTGCGGCCGTACCGCGGCCTTGGAAATAACGTTTTCCATCTGTTGTTCAACGTAGCGTAGCTTTCCTTCGGCCCTTTAATTGTTTTGTGCTATCTCCTCAATCTCAATAAATTTGTTCATTCTTTAGATGATGCTAATATCATATGCAATGGCTGGGATACCCCAAGCGAGTAGGAAAAAAACGCCATCGCTATGCTCAGTAGCTCATAAAACAATACAAACACCATGCAAGCCCTCAAAGCCATTGCAAACTAAGTCAAAGTAGCATTCAGGCAGTGTTCTCTCCACTCTCCACAGCCATAGCAGCACCCTCTGTAGCCGTCGACTTCGAAATATTAGCATCTCGCTGAGAGATTTCCTCCCCAACGAAGCAGCTCAACCCAGCAAAAGCCTCAAGCAGGGTGCGCGAGTAGTATTCACGCAGGTCATAACCACCAGCCAGCATCCGCGCATCATTCCGAATAGGATCAAGATACTGCGAGGGGTAATACGACTGGAGAGCATAGTAATCGCGCTTCTCGGGCACATAACCCATAAACGGATCGTACGGTTTCTCCGGCTCGGGCGTCTTGATCTTGCGCAGACCTTTGACAAGCCCGGTGTCCGCCCCACCAGCATGTTCCACTGCGGAAAGATTCGACACGCGCTTGGTATCCGACCGCAGCGCAGCCTGTTTCTGTCGAATGCGTTCTTCCTCGCTGCGGCGCGCGGACGACTTTTTGAGAAGCACCTTGTGGCCTTCGCGCGCGATGGCCGCGGCATCTGTGGATGAGCCGGAGGCGAGTCTTGAGAGGAAATCCTCGCGTCCGGCTTGGATCTCGCGCCGCTCGGTCTCGTATTCCTGGCGTACTGCTTGGCGGCGCAGTCGGGCTTCTTCTTGTTCGAGGGTCATGCGGGCTTGGAATGAGGAGGCTTCCTCGGCTTCTATAGCTTGGTTTGTGCGGATGGATTGCATGTTTTCTGCTGCGTATTTTTGGAGCTGGGCTTCGGTTTTCGCGACGTCGATGCGGCTCACTAGGTTCGCGATTATGTCCTCTCTTTGTTCGAGGAAGTCGTCATATGCACGTTTCGAGTCAAATTCTTCTTCACGGCGATTCAGGCTGGTTGAGACGACTGTTAGTACTCGCATGTAACCAGGTACTTCGGGCTGCTTGGCAAAAGACATACATGTGCATCACTCGCCGCCGGATATCTACTTCTCTCTCCACCCCGATATCTTCGAATGTCTGCTTGCGGAACCGATTTTTACGCAGCGTCTTGCGACATCCGGCTACCGGACAATTTGCGGGACCGGATGAAAAAATACGGTCCACGCACGACTCGCACATCTTGTGGTAGCATTCCGGGTTGATGAGAAAGCGCATGTCCGGGTTGAGGTATCGCGACGATTTGCAGACAGGGCAAACCTCTGCAAAAAGATGTGGTTAGCATTATACACCACGACAAAGCCAAACAAAAGCCTACCGTCTTCATCACGGCGAGAAGCCGCATTGGAGGCCATGATGAGAGCGAAGTGACGTGGGAGAGATGGACCTCAGACTGGGTTGAGGCTGATAAGCAATCCATGCGCACGGACCACGCTATCATCACCTTTTTGCGACTTTTTTTGTTTTCGCCTCCGGCAACCCCTCTCTTTGCTCTGTTCCATTCAATTAACATCGTCAGTGTGAAGCTGCCACTCAGTTTCTGCTTTCTACAATTATGGGAATACCAAACCCCAACCTCGACGCTCTCGAGGAGCAGCGCCTCGCGCTCGAAGAAAATATCCTCCAACTTCAGAAATCGCTTTACCACTGGCGAACCTGGGAAGCAGAATACGATGGACTCCGCGAAGAGATCAATAATCTAGAAGATGACGCCAGCACAGACGACTTTCTTGCCGTGGCCCTGGAATTTGGCGGCATGCTGGTGGATCAGAAGGAAATGCAGGTGATACTTGGTTCAAAAGGTGTGATGCGGTCTCGCGGGCAAGTGGTTGATCTTCTTGGACGACGCATCGACTATGTGCGGCAGAATGTTTCGACTATGGAGAAGAGGCTTTCGAAGGTCCAAAGCGAGCTGGACGCTTTGGTCTTGAACGATCAGGCACCGGTGCAGGACGGTGCGGATTTCCCGATGCAGGAAATTATGGAGGAGCTTGATGAGGATGGAAACGTCGTTTCGAGCAAGATCAATACACCTGGGAATGACGCTTCGGAATTGCTGAATGTGCTGAAGAAGGCTGGTGTCAAGGATATTCCGGATATGAGTGCGCCGGAGAAGAGTACTGCAACTCCCGTCGATGCTACACGTGAAGACGCGGTTGATGAACCGGTTAATTCAAAGGCTGGAGACCAGCGGGACGGTTCCTCGAGCGGCGAAAATGCAACCACAGAGCCAAATGGCCCATCCCTGAAATTCTCTCAACCTCAGTCTGTGGTGACTGCCGAAGATCGCATGCAGCCGCCCGTCACGGACGTGAATGAATCTGCAGAAGAAGCAAGGCTTCGCCGTGAAATGCTCGATTATGGTATCAACGAGGTGGGGGCTATTGTGGCAGAGTTGGAAATGGATGAGTCCGGAAGTGACATTTCCTTTGACGAGGACTACGATTACGACTACGACGATGAAGATAACGAAGACGAATACGGCCGCTCTCACAATCACCTTCCGGCGGAATATCACAAGCAGATGATGGAATTGGAGGCCAAGCTCAATGCCCGAGGCCTGATGAACATGGGCAAGGATACCGAGACGTTCCCCGAGGAAGTGCAGCAAGAGATCGCGACACCCGCCAAGGTTGAAACTTCCACCAAAGAGAAGAAGCCTAAGAAACGGGTTGCGTTCGCTGACGATCTTGATATTGCACCAGCCGCCACACCCGCGGCCACCTCGGAGAAGGTTCCTGCTCCACAGGACGAACCTCAGGTGCTCGCTGATTCCATTGTTGAACGGACCAGCCGTGCCCCAGAGCCCTCTCCAATTACCCCGGCCGTTCCCAAGAAGGTGTCGCGGTTCAAAAGTGCTCGGGCCGCTGCTCCAGATAGTACGGCTAGTGACTCAGTTACTACCGGGGCTACAGTGGCGAATCCCTCAGAAGTCACCGAATCCCGTCTTCGCAAACAAGCCAACACAACTCCATCTGTGGTGCCGCCTGTCCTGTTCCCCGCGACACCCAAAGAGCCCAAACCCTTCTCCGCACCGATCACCGATATCATCGAGAAACCTTATCCGCCTCAATTCCCACATGACCGAACTCTAGCCGAAAAGGTCTTTGAGCGACAGGTCAAGACAGGGGCTGCAGTGGCTCCTGAATTGGATCACTACGACGAGGAGCTTCACCAGAAGCAGATTGCGTCGGAGTTCTTCAACATGCAGAAACGCATGAACGGCGCACCTAAAGACGACGAGGAACAGGATATTCTCCCTCCCGAGGAAGATGAACCTAAACGGGTGAGCAAGTTCAAAGCTTCACGAATGAGAGGTAATCCCTTATGATAAGTGGCCAAGAGTGGGAGGCTTTCCTTTCTCACCTCTTTCTTCCTGATTAAGATCTAGATTTGTTAGTGTTACAAAACCCCAATCCTTCTTGCTCATGATTCTTCTCGCCGTTCACGGACTTGGTCCCTTCAAGTTCAAGGGCTCTTACATCTTAGCTCAATCAGCAAATCAACGCGATAATATGACATCAAACTACCGGCGCGATCTGTTTTTGACAATTACTTGTCTGTTTTGGTGTCAACTAGCCAATGTATTTATCACGAAAGCATTCGACTGTTTTGTTTGTTTCCCTAGTCCTCATCAAAGCCCTCTCTCTCCCTTCTTCTTTTCTCACCTCCTTCTTCCTTCCCCTGACCAACGGGCTTCCAATTTCTTCTGGGTTTACCCTCAAGGAAACACAAGGTGCATACCCCTATCTCCTTGTGAGGTGGGAAACCGTGGTATCACTCACATACTGAAGTCCAAGATCAAAAGAGAGCTTCTCTGGCTGCACTCTTTCAATTCTATCAGGACAGGAGAGAAATCGTATGTTACTCGTACTTCTCCTCCCGGGGGGTTCAGAGCAACTACGGGAGTATTGACTGCCTGGAGGATTGATAGATGGAGGTGCGGTTTATTTATTCCTCTCGACATCACACATGTAAATCAATTAATCTGGAGTGAATGCATTTATGCCTCGACTTTGTCTTCCCGTCTATCACCTGCCTTGATAAATTGTCACGTAGTCCCTGTCTTAGTGCTTCTTCGCTGCCCAGGTGTATCTCCACCCTTACGTGGAGACCGATCTGGCTGCTACCCAAACCAACACGACTGCATGTCTTGCCAGACGACAAGGATTGAAGTATTTCAACCCGGTGGCCGTCTACAAGAAGACCAGTTGATGCCCTCCTCACTGACGATTCACGATTTCCTCTTAGCGGCAATGGTCATCTGTCTGGATGTATCTGTGCGTCTCGAATCTCATACGACAGCGTTAGTAGACGAGCGCGAAGACGACGGCTTTGTTTCGAGAGAGATCGTTGCACTGAAAACTCCCAACTGATTTGGGCTGCTATTAACCATCTTTCGCCAGAATCTCGCATTGCATCGCTGCCGCTGGACTAGCTACGGTATCGAAGTAGCAGTCTCAGAGATAGGGAAGCAAGACTGACTGACTACTTGCGGTCTACCCAACCTTGGAAGTGGTAAATTCACTCCGTTTTTAGTTCCAGAGTGTTGCTGTGTAAAATCCAAGTAATACTTTTGTACATTACATTGGGGGTAGCTGCTTGCCTCTCATGCATGCAATGCAATATCTCATCAACTCGTTGAAAAATAACAGGGGCATCATCGTGATAGTGTCATGTAGAGGTACATTAAAAGGGCCGGAAAATAGATGCAAGGCATACTTAAGACTAGAGTATTCACAAGTTCATCTCCGAGTCTCTACGCCTGATACATAGGGCATCTAGACGGAAACTCAGCCCGACGACCAGCAGGTGCACAAAGACGGCAAAGGTCTGGCTTTGAATGCTGTGGGCTCTTAATGTAAATGCTGCAGAGAGGAGGAGAGGGTAAAGGATCCAGGGCTTGACGGCCAGCGGTGAGCATGGATGAACAAGGGATATGATCTTGACGAGGAAGATGGTCAGCTGTAAGACAGGCGAGGATTGGAATGGGTTCAAAGATGCTAAGGAATTAAGGACAGGGAAGCGGCTCGGTGGGGGTGGGAGAAGATGACGTTGCAGGATTGGTTGAGGCTGGGGCTGCTGATCGAGGAGCGGTGATGATTCGTGAGGAGGTCGGGCTGGAGATGACGGTGATGGAGTAGAGTAGCGATGCCGAATGATCATTTCTTGATCTGGGCTAACCGAAGGACCCTCCTCTGGACTGGCATCAGACACAGGCGCTGTATTGCTTCGAAAATGACTGGAGTCAGACTTCGAGTCACGCCGGAAAGATGTTGGGTTTCGGCGCAGATTTTTGGTGGGAGAGAGTGCTCGCTCTACTGATGGCTGCTGGCTATCCAATGGGCGGATTCGAGCCCCAGGCAGGTCGGGGTTCCCCGAGCTGGCTTTCCTGAAGCGGAACTTTTCATTTGAATTGGCACCGACTTGGATACCATTTAACACGTCGTCAGCTGAGGGCCGTCGGTCGGGATCAACCGAGAGTAAGCGCTCTAGGAATTTATACAGCTTTTCAGGGAGGTCGGAGCGGATAGCTCGTGCGTGGTCAAATCCAGCCCAGCTGGTGATCTCTGCACGGAGCTGATCCAAGTCCTCTTTTTCTTCGTTTATGATGTCGGCATTCGCGTATGGGAGAGCTGCAAAGCATAGAAAGTAAAGGATCATTCCGAGGGAGAAAATATCAGACTTGAACGTAAAATTGCCAAATGGTCCGTCAGGATATTCTTGGCGAAGGACTTCGGGTGCACAATATGAAAGAGTACCGGTTGCACCAGTCGACTTGCGCATTGCATTTTGAGACTGCACCTCACCGAAATCACTGACCAAAACCCTAATGCCATCACCGGTCTCGTGGAGCAGGCAGTTGTGTGGTTTCAGGTCACGATGGATGTATCCATTGGCGTGAAGATAACGGAGTCCAGAGGTGATATCACGGAAGAAAGAATAGATTTCATCTAGTTGAAGCGTGCGAGCTCCTCCAAGTTTAGTTCGAGGCTCCGGTTCGCCTTTAGATTTGCGGCGAAGACGGTCCTTCAATTGCTGCGCAGTGGTGGAGGTTTGAACAGAGCCACAGATGTAATCATGCAAATCACCGGCATTGCAGTATTGCTGTAGAATAAATGCGCAAGGCACGCTCGGGCCGAAGGTAGTTATCTTCGCATTTTCCAGCCAGACATGACGGTATGAAACAAGATTCTGATGCGAGAGATGCTGCAACAGCTGCACTTCGCCCAGAACCTTTTCCAGCCACTCATGATCGTCACCAACAGGGACGCGCTTGCAGGCATAATGACCAAGGGAAACGCTATCCAGGACATGCTTCACTAGTAGCACCACCCCTTTTCCACCTTTGCCTAACACTCGTTCCTCCACAAAGAATCTCTTGAAGTAATCTGGACTGAACGCCGCAGAGGAGATTCCCTGTGGTGACGGCTGTGGCGATGAGGCAGGTTGGACGGGCCTGTTATTGATAGGCCCACGAGGGAGCGCGGGCTGAACAAGGCGATGGCGTGGAGAAGGAGGAGACGAAGATGTCGCGGAGCTGGGGAGGCTATTGTTGAGCATGTGAAAGTAGTTTGGGTTAATGAATTCGCCTTCAGGTTCAGTATCCCCGCAATGTCGTTCTCTACTATTATCGCGCATTGCACGATGGCAGAATGGGCAGTTGGCTAGCTCCATATTGTCAATGTCTTCGTCCGACGTATTGCGGAGAACGAGCTGTTGAGAATCATGGTCAAAGACAACCACCGAGTCATTGTGCCGCCTGTCGGAATTAGATAACTAATAGCACATATTCAAAGATCACTTACAAAACAACATCGAGGTTGCCCCCATTATAGGGGACCATAGACATGTCGGCGGGCATTCTGGCATCGATGTGAGGGAATGAGAGTGCAAGCTGCCGTCGATGACGATGTAGACCATGGGCGGTGAGAGACGGCGGCGGATAGCGACAGTTCGGTCAATACTCTCTCTTGATTATCCTTACATTCCTTGTTTGTACTTTCTCATGGTTAATGAGATGAAAATGGAGTCTAATTATATCAAATCCCAGGAAAACTCGAGATTGCAGTTCAATGCAGACCCAATTCGGGTATCCTCACGAGAACTGAAACAAGCACACTAGGCTGATGAGCCCTCGAGTGGGGTACAGCTTACACAATTCACACAGTGTCCGGCCCATGATAATCACCTCAAATACACAGAACCCCATCTTCAGCCTGATTGGATCCCGATGGACCCAATTTCTATTACCAGTCTCGTAATAGAGGTCACCCATGTGCTTTCGAGCCTGATCAAATATGCCAAAACGGTGCAGACGGCAAAGTCCGAAGTGCGCAAGCTCAGCGAAGAGCTCTTTGCTCTAAAAGGAATCCTGGAGCACCTAGCAGCACAAATAGATGATACCCCCAAATGCGAGGAACTAGAAACAAGCCCATTTGACCGCGACGTCATGGCGAGAGTGTTGCACACAACAAATGAGTTCCTCCAATCCTTACTCCTGGACTTGCAAACGGCCGAGACCAAGTTTAAGCGCCTCAAGCAAACTCTGAAATGGCCTTTTACTCAGACACAAGTCAGCGAGCATCTGATCCGTCTGGAAAGAGTCAAATCGTGGTTGATACTAGTTCTCATTTCAGACCATAATGCAGTGGATCGGGAGATGCAGCACGAAATTCGCGATCTGACAAACACGTTGAAGGAAGACTTGCAGGTCCGGGTTCAGGAGCGGAACCAATTTGCTAACAGAGAGCTTCTGAAATGGATAGCTCCCGTGAACCCCGAAAACTCTCATCTGCGGGCGTCAAAAAGACATAGGAATGGGACTGGCAGATGGTTTGTCGACAGTCATTTGAAGGCGTTTCTCAATCAGGATGAAAACCGGGCTCTCTTCCTCCTGGGGAAATGTACGTATCCATTGTAGTATCTCAAACATTTCGCTGATATGGTTGTAAAGCCGGAACTGGAAAAACTACGCTGTTGTAAGTTCCATTTGCAATCGGGTGGCTTCTTATATCTGACATTCGCTAGTGCGCAAGCTGCCGACGAACTTACCTATATGGCTTCTCAAGGCCAACCCATGTGTCTTGCTTATTTTTATTGCACAATTAGCGATTTTGCCTCTCAGGATGCAAGGAATGTTCTAGGATCACTTGTGGCACAGCTCACGGGCACGATTCCTTCAATATTGGATGAGATTCGGTCTGTTTACAACAAAGGTCCAAAGAACCAGACGCATAGATTCCCCATCGAATTATCTGTTCTCGAAGCTGCCATCCTCAAGTCTGCTTCCGAAAAGACGAAGGTTGTCCTCATGGTTGATGCAATCAACGAAAGCCATGACATGCAGCTTCTCGAAGCATCCCTTGTCAGGCTGGCCAGGCTGTCCACGAATATTCATGTGCTTATAACCACTACAAGCACCATGAGTTCCATCAAGCATCACAATGCATCTGTCTTGAACATAAGCGGAAAGTCGCGAGGGGACATTGACATCTATATCAAATACCGACTTGAGAATGATAATACGTTGAGAAACTTGGCCCCAGATTTCCAAGCCGAGATTGAATATGCTCTCCTTCGAAATGCCGATGGCTCGTCAGTATAGCACCGATCTTGCCATGCCTTCTGTGGTCTAATTATTTCTTCACAGATTCCGCTGGGTCCAGCTCTCATTGGACAACCTAAGCACGCAGCGGTCTGTAAGGGCGATGCGACAGGCATTGCGGAACCTCCCAGGGACTTTGCGCGAGACATACGCAAATATGCTGGAAAGAATTGCCCCTGATGATTGGAAGATTGCTCATGAGGCCCTCTTTTGGCTCAGCTTCACCAAACAGCCGCTTACTTTGAGGAGTCTCAACGAAATCGTGGTCACAGACGAGACAAGCATGACACTCGACGAGGACATGATGCTTGTCCCTCCGCATATTCTTCTTGAAATTTGTCAAGGACTCATCACTGAGGACCAAGATGGCTATCTAAATCTCGCGCATGCGTCTATCAAAGATTTCCTAATATCTGATTGGATTCGCTCATCTCGAGTCCAATATTTTGCCCTGGATCCTACAACTGCAGACCAGAAAGCCATGCACAGTTGTCTCACGTACTTGTGTCTTGACAATTTTGCACGGGGATACCTGACATGCCCCGAAAACCCAGCGAAAGTACGAGAGAATCATCCTTTCATGGCATATGCCGCGCACTTCTGGGCCCAACATGGTGCTGCTTGCGGCTTTGGGGATCCCAAGCAAGACATGGTCCATAAATTCTTTGCCACAAGGTCTCTCCCCGGCGGGGGGAATTACGGTATATGGATACAGACGTTGTTACGGACAACCGCTGGTTCAAACACGGATGATGCTGTGGCAATTGACGGAACGCACCCTCTATACTACGCTGCCTCGTTTGGTATGGTTCCAGTCGTTGAGGCCATTCTCGCTTCCGAACCAGACATCAATGTAAATGCACCTGGTGGCCGTATTGGAGCCACGCCAGTGTGGATTGCCAGTCTTCGCTTCAACTTCGAGGTTGTGGAAATCCTCCTGCGTGCTGGAGCTGATCCGTCCATCCGGGATCCAGGTAGTGGGCTTAATGTGCTTGATCTTTTGAGGATGGTGCCGACTCGTCATCGGAACTACCATGGTCTTCGACACATTTTGGATCGTCCAGCACCTTGGAAAGATGGATTTAAAAATTGAGGGTGGACATCAGTGTAATTTTGTTAGAAATGCTCATTTAAGATGAATTTGACCAACATGTCGCTATTTTCTGCCAGGCTTCAGTCCCCGGATTCAATCCATGGTTGGAGAGTGGGGAAGAACCACAATGAGACTCAGCTGAGCCCCCTCCTGTCCATGGATGGCTCAGCCGCAGGTGCAAGATTGCATTATAGAGGAACGTAGACGAAGATACCAATTACAAATAGTTTGAACGAGAGAAGGGTTCTTAAGTGAGAATTATTTTTATTCATTTTGATTCCTCATCGAATCGGGTATCTGAGTTGGAGCTAGTGACTGAAAAACACCAAAACTCCTAAGGTTGTACAAATTATGTACTGGGATGCTCGCGATTGATCACGCGGCATTTGGATGACAGGCGCTGTTCAGGCCTGGGCGACATGTGGCAAGGCAGCCTTTAGACTTCTGTGCGATAAAAGCACGTGCCGGATGCCTTGTGGAGAGCCAAATCCGATCAATGCGGACATGGCGTATGACTCGACGAGAAGCTCTGTTGTTTCAAGAGCTAGCGCAGCCGATCTGACGGCGTCAAGACTACCTATTTTTCGTAGGGTGGAATGGGGATGACAGGGATGACACTCGGGTGCCGTAGACCACCAATGGTTTGATCACTCCTCTTCGCCACTCTCCACGTCGCTAACCTCCAAGTTGGCGATCGAATCATCATCGCTATCCTCGGGATCGACGGCCTCGTCCTGAGCAGACTCAGACTCGGCCTCGGCGTCCTTGGCAGCGGGCTCGTTGTTTTCATCCAACTTGCGCTTGCGGGGCATCTCGCCGAGTCGACCTTCACGGCCCTCGACACCCTCGACAGTCTCCTCATCCTTCTCGCCCTTGTCGCCCTTTCCGGTACCCTTGGGTGGGGGTGTATACCAAGGGATCTTTCCACGAAGGAAATCGTTGATCACCATCTTGGCGACACCGTCCAGATCGGCCTCACCTCCCTTGAGGAGACGGCCTCCCTGGCGAGCAAGAAGCGCGAGCCAGTCGAGGTAGTTCTCCTGGTGCTTGATACCGTAGGTGCGCTCAAGATGACGGGGCAGAACACGGCGAAGGACAGCCGGAATGTATTGCTCTGGGTTGTGAACATTCTCCACTCTGCAGACTCCACGGAGAAGGATGTCCTCCTCGGTATCGTTGGCGTTGGGCGGAACCACACCAGGACAATCGATGAGATAGATTCTCTTCATCAGGGTGATGTACTGCCACACCTTGGTTTCACCCGGAATAGGAGCAACTGTGCACACCTTCTTGCTTCGGAGAGTGTTGATGATAGAAGACTTGCCCGAGTTGGGATAGCCAATCAAACCAACTGACACCTGCTTGCGGTCGGAATGAAGGGACGAGAACTGGCGAAGCAGTGAAATCAAAGAACCCTTGCCGAAAGAGTTGTTGATATTGGCATGGAAAGCAAGACAAGGGTAGTCCTTAGAAAGATGACGCACCCAAGCAGCCTAGTCAAGGATGCAAAGTTAGCAATCAGTCACTAGCAATGAATGAAACATCGTGTAAAGGCAGAATGTGTGGGATGTTACTAAGAAGTCTGCTACAAAGCCACCAAATAGGCAGAAACAGACTTCTACTCAAAAACAAAGCACAGCTGGCCCTTTGCGACAGGCTTTCAAGACGAATGCAAGTCAACCTAGGTTCATAACGAAATTCGGTGCGGGCCAGTGTTAATATACCAAAGCTGTAACAGACGGAATTCCATTGAAACAAGCACAACCGAAGTTGTGCACGACCGAAGTCGCAGGAAGAGGCCTTGACTTAGCGATGGAACGGGGGCATAACAGGACAATGCAGGACAGGAAGAAAGGCAAAAACTGGTGATAAAAAGGGACAGCAAGGGGGAAGTGGTGAAACTCACAGCAACGCCGGTGGGGACGAGATCGCACTTGTTTAAAACGAAGATCAAGTGCTTGTGTGGTGCCTCCTCGCGAATGTACTTCTCAACACTTCTGCAACGAGTGCCTTCGGGATCACGGGAATCCAGGACATGGATGATGACATCGGAAGAATCGATGACCTTGTAAAGTTCGTTCCAGATACGCTTACTCTGTCCCTTGGAGAAGACAGATTCACGAGAGGTAGTGAGTAGACCTAGGTCTTCGGCCGCGGTAGTGTCATCACCACGAACAATTGCACTTCCATCAGCATGAGTTCCCTCATCATTCTTCTCAATGTAAGAGTCCTGCATCTTGGCTGTCTGGCCAGCGAGGTCTTCGAGGGACGACACACCAAGCTTCACGCGCTTGCGCTGAGCCTTCGGGCCAAAGGTATCATTGAAGGGAGAAGTCTCAATGGCCATCTTAGCTTGGTGTTGCTTCAGACCGTTGACTTTGTCATTATCCCGAATCAAGCTCATGGGGAGCTTGTTGGTCTTGAGAAGAACCTGGTACGGGTCGGCAGCACGCTCCGCAACAGCATCACGGAACGAGCTTAGAGCCTCTTGCGAGATGACGCGGGAGTTAGCAAACCATTTACGGTTTGGCTCGATGCGGGCTGTGGGCAATTCTCTAGATTGATAACTCGCGGCGACTGTGATGTCACCTTGTGCGTTGCGACGCGGTGTACCATCCTTGAACATGTTCAAGGTCTTGATCTTCTTGGCATCACTGGGAGGCAAGTTAGTATTGGTTATTTGAGGATAACGGGCATTTTTGCTGCGGCTGTACATACCGGTAAAAATTTTCACCTTTGGTCTTGACATTTCCCATGCCATCATTGGGCTTCCCCTGCCGCACTTTACGAGCGGCCTCCTTCTTTCCTGTACCCATGATAGCGGTTGTGGGTTGAAATATGAAAGGAGAAGTAAGTGCCTGACGAAAAAAAAAAATAATCGAAGGCAAGACCAAACACAGAGAGTGGCAGAGTGCAAAGAGGAGAAGAAGAAAAATAAAAGGCGGCGAAGGAACTATTTTTTTTGGCGCCAAGACATTACGGTGCACGGGCCAAGGGAAAATCGCTTCTGTCTCTTCCGACTAACTCGACCGTGTATCCTCCCTATTATACGGTAATCAGCCTCAGGTTACAAACCGGCTTAATTGAAGGTCGTACCATTGACCTTTGATTCGACTATTTACTTTGCAACAATCCCGTGCCAGTTTTATCGCTCCACGGAGTGACAGGATTGAATTGCGCCGCATGTCTGTCCTCCGCAATAGCCGGACTGCCACTGTGCAGGTCCGTGGATTTGCTTCCTCCTCCAACCTTCGAGTCGGGCCAGAATCGCCTCACTTCATCGATGTGCCGAGAATTATTCAGCCCACCAACCCCCGCAAACCCCATGTCAGGGGTACTCTACCCGTGCCTCGCGAGCTCTTCCCGGCCCGCCGAGCGGACAAGCCCCGGATACAATACCTCAATGCCGTCACACAACTCCCCAAATCGGAACGGGTAGTAAGCCCAAGTAGCAGCAACCCTGAGAAGCAGGAATGGAAGCACAAGATGGCGGATCTACGCAGACAGAACTTGCGGGACGGTCTGCGAGACCTGTACTCGCGCAAAAGGTCCGCAGATTCAAAGATTGTGAGCCGCAGTCTTGAGAATCAGAATCGGCGGGACCGCATTCTTCAGCAACCCGAGCGTGAGGACGAGCGCCTCACTCGGCCATCGACCATCGCGGCCATGATGCCCCACAAACAGCCAGTTTTGCCCGACCCCAACCGCGAGGAACGCCTTGCGCTCTCCCGGGCACGCCTGGAAGCCAAGCAGGCACAGAAAGAGATTGAGCGGAAGGAGCACCTCCAGTCGTTGTATGTGAATGCTCGCACTTTCATTACAACTGAGAAGCAGCTCACTGCTGAAATCGACCGGGTATTCCCAGAGGGCGAGAACCCAGCGTGGCGCAACGACCACCAGCCCGGCGAGAACATCTGGAACCTGGGTAACCCCCCGACTGTGTTCAATCTTGCCAACAAGACCCGCTTCAACGAGGCTGCTCGCTGGGATGTCTCTCAGGAGCGTGTTAAGAAACTTGGAGAGGCAATTACTGGAGGTAAGCTGCGGGAGTAATTGTTTTTTTTTCTTGGCATCATGTACAATATCTATCAAACTATCGCATTTCAAAACTCAAATCAAGAGGTCCTTTGAGGTCCTTCCATTTTCTCAATTCGAGTGCCCGCTGCGCTTCAATGGCAACCTAAGCAAGATCCGCCTAAGAGTGAAAACAAGTGAACAGCGAGACTATACCAAAACAAGAACAGTATCATCTGAGCAGAAAAGCGAATCCCGTCCCTCCAGTCAAGTAGCACAGCTTGATAACGTTGGGAGCTATCCATTTCCCATTTAGTTTCCAGAAATCCAGTACTGTCATAGAAATTTTCTGCTCTGGTTCAGTTTAAAGCCTGGCAAGATGGGTACCACATGCGGAAGCTCATATCGATCGCCTCGATGTCGCAGTTCCTCAAAAGGGTCTTTGATGTGGCATTGTTGGGCTTAGGTTTAGGTTACTTGCTTGCTACTAACCTTCCAAGGTCGAATACCAACTAGTTAATTATGCCAGAGAAGAAAGGTTGGATATGAACAAGGACTTTAGTACATGCTACTATGACAACAAGAGACAGCAAAGTAGACATAAAGAACAAGATAGCAGTGGAAGTGGAACCATGAATAGCACTAGAACCTTGAAGAACGAAACAAACAGAGAGCTATCTCTATGGAAAAGGGCCAAAAATTATGCCCAGCTCCTCATGAGTCAATGGGGAGCCCAGGAAAGTACAGTCTGTTTCCACAGAGGCCACGGGGAGGAATGTGGTCCTGGGCCGCGACATGCTTCGTGCCATTAGACCCGGACCGAGGCACTAATCTAGTTTCAGGCTAACCTGGACCGCAGCAAAGATCCAACGTCCAGAGGACGAGAGACTGAACTCCGAAACCACAAAGTGCAATGTGGACCCGAAGAGTGCTGAGGAGGGAAGAAAGAAGAAGAGAGAGAAATGGGGTGGCTGAATGCGAGGAAG